ATAAACCCAAAAAGTGAATTAAGACATGAAGAGTAAAATTGCAAAAATGTTGAAAAGAATTAGATCTAGAAATTGAATCATATAAGACAAATGATCTAGATAGTTGTAAAATCCTTTTTTATGATCTTGAATTAAATGATTCAGAGGCAGTTTACCTATCAATATTAAAAGAATTAGAGAAATATAAAAAGATATTAGAGTCTAAAGGCAGTTCTAAATCTAAAATACAATTATTTAGGATAGGTAATAAATCTAAGAATTTGATCAATAAAGAATTTGAGCACTTAAGAGAAATTAAGGGACACGAAAAATCAGAAAATGATTTAGAATTTAAGGAGTAAGAAGAATTAGGAATAGCAGTTAAAAGAAGAATTATAGTCATACATTATGTAAAAGTTCTTAAATCTCATTCAAATAATAGAAATAATATACAAAAAATGTTAGAAAGCAATAAACATAGGCAATTTAAGTTTGCTTTATGTTCTTTTATCAAATTTCTTGATCTGATACTGCAATTTTTTTAACTATTTCTCAGATTCTACTAATTACTTTTCTAAACTAGAAACATATTTTTTCTTATCTCGTATATTTTTCTTAACTTAATATAGCTGATTTTTTAGACTGGAGATTTCAGATTTTAGTTCTAATATTTCTTCTTCTGAAGCATTTTCAAGATGCTTTATTTCTCTATTAAAATTCTAAATTCTTCATATTGAGAATAATTTTATTCTATTTGATTAATTTGTTTTTTATTCTGCAATTAATATTTACTACAGTTTGCAATTCACTATGAAGATGATAGTTCTCTCTTCCGACTCAGCTTTATGTTCTTTACATATTCTTCACTGTCATAGATAAGGTTTGTAAAATGACATTCTTTTTTCATAATTATAAAAGAAAATGGGAGAACCTTTGATTTATATAGATCCTTAAAAAGCGTATAATCTTAACTAGAATCTCATTTTTTAAGAGATATATTATAGATCTGAAGATTATTATCAGACTGCTGAAAAATTGCAAATCATTTGTAAAAAAGCTAGTTATGATTTCATTATAGTTGTGATAAAAAAAATGGTTAAACCAACAGGTATTGCATCAAATCCATAAGCCTCAGCCTAAATTTATTCAGTATGCCTCTTTCAATAGCATTCAAATTTTAAATAAAGCTCATCAATCTAATATTACATCTATGTCTTAAAATAAAATTAGTAATCATATTTACAAATATAGAGAAGTAATAAAAGATGTTGCAACTAAGTACTGGCATAGTTTTACTTTAACTGATCATCAGCACAAATGGCTAAAGCAATTCAAAAAATTTACAATAATCCTAATGATCCTCTTAACCCACTTGAAGATTTTATTATAGATAAAGATATTGAATATATGGGCAAATGTAAAGATTTATTACTCAGTTATAATATAAGAATTCAATATACTAACTTTAAATGTGATGTAACTATTGCTAAATATAATCATCAAGAATTTGAAAAACATGCTTATTTTTGACAAGATGCTAAAGATTTTCATTTACCTTTAACTGATAGATCTAGAATATGGTTTAAAGAACTTCATATAAATGATGATATTTACAATAACACTCTTACTTAGTTAATATGAATGTTTTCCAATAAAGCTATAAAAAAAGCATTAAAAAAAAAAATAATAGCTAAACCTTCAGTAAAGCATAAGAGAT